GCTCCCTTCTCTGGGCAAACCTGAGAAATGACTTAGAAAGTAACTTTGTAAAGGAATGATGTTCCATTTCATTAATTTAAGTAAACAAATATGTATTATATGTGTTTATAAAAATATTTCTTATCTCCTTGATTTAATTTTGTAGGATCTGGTCCTGATCCTGCCTGCATACTTATTTTACTTTGATATAGTATATTAGCTGCAGGGAAGTCATTCCTCATTGTAGCCATTAACACTTTTTTTTTTTTTTTGCTGTTATCTTACTACCATCTTTTTTTCCTTCTTTCTTTTTGATTCTCCCCAACTTTCTTTTCTCATAGACAGGACTGTTTGTGCTGATGACTTCTGCTATGTATGAATGAGAAGTACCTCGTTCTGTTAAGCTCCAGATTGTGGTCCAACCTGTCAGATTGGCAGCGAGAGTAATGTTTGCATAGTCCTGTTGCCTGTCTGCCACTCCTAAATGGATGTACCCATGTTAAGTCTGATATAGTCATGTACAGTCCAGCTTCACATCTCCCCTGAAAATAGAGAGAGATGAGTGACAGTTTAAAAATGACCTCAGGGAAACTCTGATGTGACACAGAGGTGCTGTGAAGTGTTATTAATGAGCCTAATCTACCCATCCATTACTGAAGCAGATTTACTTTTATGTAAAGTGGCGAGAACAGCGCTGAGGAATCCAGTCCATTAATTATACATACTCTCTTAAACTGCAAGAAGTAGGGTGACCGTTCCCTCCATACATGCAAACACCATCACATATGGGTGAGCACAGCTGCCATCTAGCATTACTGCTCTGCCTTGTATAGTTTAAGCACAAACGGGTACAAAAGAGGCAGCTGAAACTGCAGGGAAATGTGGTGTCAATACCCCTAGTGGAGAGCAGTCAGCAAAACTCCCTTCTCTATGGTAAATATGCAGAAACACTAATGGGCTGTGGGGGTGGCATTCATCTCACCTGACTTCCAATGCCTACAGCGCAGGTAAGTACAGCTGCAGCAGCCACTCTCCCTATTCCTCATCGTCAACACAGACACAAGACACTTTTGCTGCTTTGTTTCATCTTGCATGTTGGAACCATCTGTTTTACAGAATCACCACAATATTGAAGTGGGCAGAGAATCACAATGTCATTGAGGTGGGAAGGGACCTCTGGAGATCATCTAGTCCAATCCCCCTGCACAAATAGGGTCACCCAGAGCACATTGCACAGGATTGTGTCCAAGTAGATTGGATGTAGGATGGGATGGGATGTACTGGGTTCAGGCACCTCTGACTATAATTCTTATATTTAGCCTGAGAACCCTAGATACCTTCTCTTAGTAGATGACTCCCCTAAAGCCTTGACACAGGACTGTGCTTTTCAAGCATGAGCTCTGCTAGGGCTGTTCCATAGCTGCTGGGAAATTCACATGGTAGCTATCAAGCCAGGGGATAAAAACAAGTCTTGTTCTCTTCTTTCCTAAGGAAATGGAAATGATTCATATGAAACTACTAGTGACAGACAGTTTTATGGCTGCATATAAGAGAGAATTATTCCAGTAATATTAGCTCCATTTTTCTTTCCCCTATAAAGCATCTGCTGTCATTACCATCACATAGTAGTTTAGAGATCTTGTATGGAGAATGGACTGAATTTAGCCCATTGTTTTCATTAAATTTCAATTTCTTATATTTAAAGAAATAAACCTGCCATTTCCCCAAGCAGGTTAACATGGAGTTGGTTACAAAAAGTTCTTGTTTTTACAGAACGATTATATGGTACCTCATAAGAATCTCCTCCACAACTGCCAACTTGCCGTGTAGGATCAAACACAATTCTCTAGAAAATTCATATGGCTACAAGCCAGGAAATCCACACTCACGTTTTCACATGTTTTCCTAGCTGACCTTGGGTAGAAAACACAAAGAAGAACCATCCTTCTGAAGAACCAACCTGTGTTCTCTCCATCCTGCCCTGGGCCACAAGGATGACCTCATGCTGTACTTGGGGTATCATGATCATGATTTCAACAGCAAGATCCTAAAATGCTGTGAACCTCAGATTATGAGTTGACTACAGGATAAAGAGAAACTGGGCTGGGAGGATATAAGCCTCTTATCTAGGCACAAATAGCTGAAATAATAGAAAAGGGAATACAGAAAATAACTGATCATGTAAATTGCTTTTTGCAGAAGTACTCTCTCGGTAAACTTTGCCCTAAGATGAAAATATACAAAAGATAGGAAAATGTACTTCCAAAGAAAGAAATAATCATCTAGTAACAGAGAGATGGACTAGATGACCTATTACTGCTGTTCTCTGGCTTTAACTTAGATCTCTTATTTCTTTGATATATTGAAAGTACCTTCATGAACAGTTTTTCTTTGCTATTTCCTAGATTTTGATACAATAAATGAAATAAAATAATTGTTATATTGTATTAAGTTTACTAGAAGCCATCAAGGTCTCCAGAGAGGAAACCGCATCTTTTTTCACTCCTTCTGGGTGAAGGGCAGTGCAGCTCTCCACTGCCATCAGAAACAAAGAGAATGGAAGAAAATAAGTTACTTTCACTGGTCAGAGTGTCATGAGGAGCTTCTTGCTACACTGGCTGGGTTTGGCAAGTCATGTTAGTTATTTGCTCTGAAGCCATAACTGCCCTAACTTTAACTACGGAATACCTAAATCAAGACCCAAGCGAGCCTGTGCTTCAGTAGATAACTCCAGAGCATGGTTCAGACCTTCCAAATCTCCAGGGATGCCAGATTGTCTCCATGATTTATAAAAACATCTTAGGAAAACTTCTCCAACTTGAGCTCCTCAGAGAGGCATCTAAAATTAGGCTGGATGAGCCTAACTCTTTGCTCCTTGCTCTCTCTTTGCTAAATAATTATGTAATGACAGTCACTAGCTTTGGAAAGGCATTAAAAGTGAAAAGGCCTATGAAATCATGATGTATTATCATTGGGGTTTCATTATGCTGTAGGTGCTGGAGTTTATTTGAGGAAATCAGTTATTCGGGTCCTAACCTCAAAGCCTCAAAGAGGACCTGCTTGTGGAGACTGGATACTCAGGGCCACTAGCAAACAGGCTTTTTATTTATTTATTTTCTTTTTTTTTTTTGAGGAGATACATATCAACATGCAAATGTACCATTGCTTTTGAAAACTGAATTAGTCTCTAGTTTGCTTTTACTTCAACTGAAAGCATTCCTTTAGTATCCAGGAGGACTAGATATTATTAGCAACTTCTTACGGGAAATGTGGTATGTCATGGGCCACGTATATATTTTTCTGGAAAAGACAGTGAAACTGAAGGGAATAAGTAAACAAAAGGTGCTTATACGGCAGTTCACTCTGAACACCCAGCTATACGTATCTGAAGTTATCTACTCATAAAGGAAGGAGGGAATGATATATGAGATTTATTTTTGGCTAAAAGCATGAAGTGCAAATCGCTCTTTGTGTAAAACGTCAGCTGTGTTTCTGCAAAGCAAAACAACATTGCTTGATAATCCATGGTAAATAACGACACAAAGAATGCTACCGCCTGTAATATACACCTGCAAGGTGTTGGGATGAACCCATGCAATTACTGTTTTACATCTCAACCAATATATGGAAAATCAAAATAAAGCGTTTCAAACAAATCATTCTGCAAATAGAAGATTTCGTGGACTACAGGCTGAAATTTAACATCAGATATGAAAATCTGAGTGTCTACATGTAGGTATTCTTGAGTGAGAAAGACATCAGAGCTGCTGTTACTGTCCATGGAGATAGAAGGCTGTATTAGTGTTTCCTGTTGTCACTGCAGACCTTGCAGGTTGTCCTGCCCGGCTTCCTGCTAGGCTCAGGTTTCAGATAAATGTAAAAAGTGTGTCATACATGCTGGTCATAGCAGGATACAGCAGGTGTATTTGGTCTGTTTGTGTCGGGGTGTTGCAGGGGCAGCACATTCTGTGGCTCTTAGAGAACATTGGCATCCGCAAGGCTACCAACCATTTTCATTTATAATTGTGGTGACTGCAATCAGCCCTTCGTGGAACAGGATCAACAAGATGCTTCAGATAAAGCACTACTGGTGTGATCAAGACCAGGTCAGGGAAGTCTGCAAAATTTCAACTCATGTATCTTGAATACATGAAAGAAAAGGGGGAGAGAGTACACCAATAAAACTTTTAGCTGATATTGGTTTAAGTAATCTCTGTCCAATCACAGTCTTCCCAGGCATCCATCTCTCATTTCTTGTCCTTGTGAGGCCAGCATAAAATCTACAGTTCAGTCCTTCTCAGATCGGACAGTTATAGTGTCTTACACACAGCAACTGGAGATCAGTTTAGAAATTGTCCGACCTTCTAGGTGTTTATTCACAGGTTCTGCAAACCACAGACATATTTAAGTCACAGCTAACCATGAAAACACATTCAAATATTTATAAAGGTTTCTGAATATGCTACTAGTGTCCTGTGTAGGCATGTCATCCTAGACTGTGAAATATAAATAACAATATTCATATTGAGTAAAAAACAAAAGGGCACCTGAATACATCATTTCTAGAGTGTGTTTTTTTTTTTTTTTTAACATGTAAGCAGTACCATTCTCGATGTCTCAATATACACATTGAAATTAATGATTTTCTCCAAAATGGAATAATAGTTATGGCAGGAAATTCATTATATTAGCACTTAGGAGAATTCTAACAATGCATATACTTTGCATCTTCCAAAGAAGATGTTATCCCCTGTTCTGTTTCTGAGCTTAACATTTTGGTTTGCATGCTTCAAGGAGCTGCAGGGAAAGGGAAAGTCAGGATGTGTTACTGTCCATGCTGAATTTCTGCCCATATGAAATTAATGTGCTTGTAAAAGATAGTACCACAAATGCTGGTGCTGTTACATAGGCACAGGTGAGATTAGACTCAGCTACTCTTGATTCCAAGACCAAACAACGAAACATTTGTTCTCCAAATTACGCTAATTTCTTAAATTCTTCTTATTTTTTATTCATTTCAGGTGCTCAACCTCTTCCTTGCCTTGCTGCTAAGCTCTTTCAGTGCTGACAACCTCTCAGCACCTGATGAGGATGGAGAGATGAACAACCTACAGCTTGCTTTTGCACGGATCAACAGGGGACTTCAATATGTGAAGCACACAACATGGGATTTTTGCTGCAACCTCCTCCGGCATCCCAAAACAACAGCTGAAAAGAAGGCAATGATGAAACTTGCTGCCCAGAATACGGGTGCTCTCAACAACTGTGTGAACAGCCACACAACTACCGAGCTTGGCAAAGACAAGGAGAGTTACAAGGAGAACCACACTGAGGATGGCATGAATAAAAACGTGGAGAAGCACCTAGGAATTATGGACAACGATGATTTTATGACCAATCCTGACCTGTCCATTTGTGTTCCTATTGCTGTGGGAGAGTCTGATATTGAGGAGGAAGATGAGGAGCAGAGCACATATACAGAAATGGAGCAGGTAGGCAACTAAAACATTTGCTAGCCATAATGTAACTAGAGAGGGGCTGTTATTCCCACCCTTGCTCTGGATCCACAGCTCATGAAACAAATGCCCTACGGCCTAATCTGTCTTTGATATGCTGCTAACTTCGCAAGTTACACATGCATATCAAAGAGCAATGTTTGTTCTCTAACAAGAGGCATTCCCTTTCTCTGTAGTCTTTGTTTTTGTCTAGATTAATTCATCTAACAAGAGCAACTGAATCCTTCCTCACACCGGAGCCTGTTTTTTTCTTTCAGCTGAATCATGGGCATATTACTGAGTGAATCTTAGACATTCTGACTATTGCAGGGTGTTTTATCATAACAGACAGTAGCTTGGTTTGGGTCCAGTAGTGGGGTTCCAGGGCTAGGTAGCTCCCTTGGAAATTGGATCAAGGAGGATGCTGGTATGGCAGTTTGCCAGAGAAAGTGAAGAGAGGATATGGAATCATATGTACTTGAACAGGAAAAATAGCTGAGTGTGTGTTTTGGGCTGACATTTTGGATTTGCTTATTCCCCACAGTCCTCAGTAGGAATGGCAGAAAAAATCAGGGGTTTGAAATGTTGATGTTAAACAGAGAAGAAAAGCCTTCATGAGACTGCTCTTCCTTCTCTCTTGTGCCCCCATTTCCCATTCTACCAGCTTTAACTATTGGTACCATGTATTGTGGGTTTTTTAAGTTACTTCCCAGCCCTTCAGCCTTGACCCTCCATCTCTAGGTTAAATGGAGACAAATCTGTCCTTACAGGAGATTTCCCCTGAAAATCAATCAATCAAATCAATTAATCAATCAGAGCAGCCAGAGGAATGTCCTATACCTGGAAGGCAGCCACAGATCAGCTGATAAATGTTAATCTCTGCTGCAAAGGGTTGGGATACACTGTCATCAAGTCCCACTATCCAAATAGACATCAAGATAACAAAAAAAAAAAGTCTGAAAATTCTGATAAATATTTTTATCTAAATGATTTGTGTGTTCATGTGGGTGAGATGGGGGAAAATCACCAAGCTGAATGTGGCTGAGTTCAATTTTGCCTTTCTGTGGGTTGGATGTGTTCATAGTGATAAAACCTCCATGAGATCCTGTCCACTGGTGTCCTGTTCCATCTAAACAGAGAATAAGAATATGTAAAACCATTTTGTGATAGTTGCTAACAAAAATTGACTTCTAGGGATAACATCTGTTTTCTCTTTGAAGTCTTTTTCTATTTCCAGCCTTGTATTAGTTAAATCTACAGGCAGAGTACACTTGAAAAATGAAGTATGAATATAGCAGATGGCTTTCTTAACATTAACTGGTCAACCAGTGCTGACTGGCAGAAATGTGTATGATTCTGGGGATCAAAGTTATTGCTTTTCAGCTTGCTGAAATGTGGGTCACATTAGAAAAAAATCTTTTTTCCCCCCCTATGCTTAATGTATAGGAAAAACCTTGTGGATTTGCCTAAAATAAAGAAGCATGTGTGGAGGTGGGGGGCGGTGAGTGCATGGTATCATCATATTCAACCTTCCTAAAGACAAATTAGAAGTGTTCTGAGTTGTAGCATGGAACATGGAAAGTTTTGAAGTTTACAGCTTACGGTGTCTTGAAAAACCCTAAACTGTGACGTTCTAATTAAATGTACAGTGTTTACTTGTAGTTACTGGCATATGTGTTAGCAAAAGGGAAAGATTATTTTATGTCATAGAGGAAGAAAATACTCACCTCTAGTGAGATCTATTAGAGTTGTGAGATAAAAAAAAAAATGATAAAAAGATTGACACATTAATAAGATAAAATATTCAGAACAAAATTAAATCTGAAATCTGAAAATGTTAAGAACATTTCTTCAAAATGTTCCAATAGTGTTGAAGCGTTACTATATGTAATATAAAAATAAAGGATTAAGAATAGAACAGAAAAGGAAAGAAACAAAGTCAGATAGCAGAATCAAAAACAAATACTCAGTTTTCCCAATGCATCTTTTAAAGAAATTTCTGATAAACATGACCATTATCAGATTACCTCCAAAGTTTGCATTGCAGTAACATAATATTTTTCCAGTGACATTTTTTTCAGGACTCTCAGTGCTAAGAAGCATGATTAAAAGAGGTGTAACATGGTTCAGAAGCACACAGGGAAATCAAATGCAGCTCATAGCTAGCACATGCATTAAATAACAGGAAAGTAGTTGAGGAATAAATTAATTAACTTTGTCACTAGTGTTTACCGAGCTTTGACAAACAGCTGTTGCAAGTCACTACTCTTCCTTTTTCCATAGTCCCAATCAAGTTTTCAACTGTTTTCTGAGGCCCTTGGGGTGTACTGCTGAAAAGATACAAACAAGAAGCAAGTTCATATATCCAGAAAAAAAATATGAAGTTTCTAGTGGGGAAAATATGTGCATGCAAGAGGGTGCAAAAGAAATGAATCAAAAAGCATTGACAAAATTAAAAAGGAAAAAAGGAAAAAAAAAAAGCACAACAGCAGAAATGATGATTCTGTGACGAGATTTACTTTCTTGATAAATCCTAATAAATTTGCTTTGTTGTAAACAGCTCAGTAAGGTGAATGGCCCTGAGAAAACAGATCCTGAGTGGTTCAAGCTCTGTGATTTATAATCATGCCATTCTAGACACACGTGCTCTCTGCACTCACAAACACCCCTCTTGGTAAGCACAGAGGTTGCTACAAAGGAGGTTATGTCACGTGGAGTTCAGTATTAAATGCCAGTTCACTGAATATTAACTTTGGGTCATTGCACTGTGCTAACCTATGCATCAAAGGCAGCCTTGTGGGACAGCGAGGAATAAATTTTCCTGCTCGCTCTTCAGAGCTCTAATTCTGTGACACCCTGACTCTCCACCAGTCCTTCCTCCTTCACTCCAGGGTTACTGCAATAACCGTGGCAGCATGCGGAGGAAGAACAAGGGAAACGAGCAAAATTTACATGATTGCAGTGAAAGGGCACAATTATGGTGAAGTATCTTTCAGTGTACAGGGCATCATACATAAATGAAACAAGAAGTACCAAGGGTACTTTAAACATTCAAATCTATTCTAACTTTCCCCTAATTATAATCCATATTTTTACATATTTACATATTTTAGCATGTGCAGAGAGAATCTGTATGTATATTTACTTCTCAGGAGAAGAAATTGTGTTGGGCTTCAGTTGTTAGCTGACCTGGAATTTAGCAGACATTGGACAATATTGCAAAACCTGCCTTCCTCCTCACGCATATAGGCCTGTGCAACTGCATGCAGAAAGAGGTAAAAAAGAAACTCCTGCATAATGTCCATGACAGAGAAACTCGTGGTTCTGCAGATTCTCTTGATTCCTATGGGATTTATAGCACTGGACTCCGTTGTTCGCTGCAGAGTCACTAGAGATATTCTTTAGAGCAGGGAACATGTTTTTCCTGGAGCTCAAAGACCAATGTAAGGTATTAAAGTATTTTCTCTGCGTATCAAACGTGTTCAGACTATACTGTGAAGCCATTTGATTAACCCTAATCCTATGCAATGCATAGGATTTGATATATTTAACTCTGCTCTTCTATCAGCTGAAAGACCCTGGACCATGTTCTGTTCATCAGGTGCTCATGTCAATCCAGACTGAGCCATCTGAAAGGCTGAAAGGAAGATGGCCTCAGGCAGAACTGCAAAACTGTTGATACCAAGGGGGTATTTTAGGGTGATGATCAGTTCAGCTTACTGTTCCTGTACCAAGACTGAGCTCTTCTGGAAAAGTCACAAAACTGCTCTTATAGTTAAGAGGAGTGGAGCCCACAATGTAATGCACAATGTAATTCTTATTACATGGCATTCATCAGCATAACAGAAATTTCTAAGTTTAAATTTCAGCTGCTGTTTCTATTATCAAAGCCTGCGCTGGCAACAAACATCTTCCTGAAAGCTACTAATTTGTGGCACTGTCATTGAGAGAGTTTTGAAGGAGCAAGCAATCCCGAGCACTTCTTATTCTCCTTTTATTACTGAGACATGAATGAGATGCTCCACCAGTTAGGAGACATGTGCCTGTAGCCCACACACATTGGCAAAAGGAACAAAAAAATGCTGAACAATAGAAGTTGTGCAAGTGTAGATGTAAGAAGCTGGATGAAGAGTAAGACTTAGACCTAGCAAAAGACATAGAAAAGGACCATCTTGATCTTAATTTGTCTTTATTATCTGCTGTGCTTGTAGGTGCCTAGTATTACATCATTTTTGCTTAAGTCTTTATGAGACTAACCACCCTCCTTGCCCATGTGGGTATTTTCTCCCTGCCAGTCCACAAGGAAGAGATTTCTTCCACATCTGTGATCTTAAGTTTGTCTTGAAAATAACAGCAAGAGTAATCACTGCTTTATCATCTATCCAGCCATATTTCAGAAACACTTGGTGTCCAAATATCTTGTGTTTTCCAAGTGCCTTTGAGATGCAGAATTCCAGAAACAGATTGTTCTAGCAGGAAAACAAACCCCAAAAAACTCAGCACAACCACAGCAGCTCTCTGCATCTTTTCAAGGAGGTTCTCTTTTTTTTTCAAGAAGTTTTCCTTTTGCCTTTTTAGATGATTAAACACTGGGTAATTTTTTGAGCCTCGTAGTGTGTTTCTAATTTCTTATAAAGATGATCTTTCATATGTGACATCAAATTTCAGTTCTATGAAGAAGGATAGACCAGATTGTGGAGACAATCAGGCGATGGGACAATTCAGTGTGCGAAGCTCTATTTGCTTGTCTTACTGGATCCTGACAGAACTTTCCTGCAAAAAAAATACACTGAAAGTTTCAGAGATCAGAGTGTTTCTTAGCATTTACATTAGCAGTGTAAGAGTGTTTCTTACATTGTGTACACAGGTATAAAACTTAAATCTTTAAAATTCCTGCTTTACTTTCGCTTAACCTTCAAGTGTCCACAGCTATAGCCAAGAAGCACGTGTGCCTTTTTCACTGCTCTGTTTGTTACTTTGTGCTTCAGAGAAATCCC